CTAATACTATCAGCAATAATCCGAATCAAGCAGCGTTCGGAATCTACTATAAAGAAGTTCTAGGAGAACCGACGACTCTGAGTAGTTGGATCTCCTCCACCGTGAAAAACGCAACCACCGTGATGATACCGGAAGAAGATATGCCTTATAATTTCCAAATACTCGAAGACTTGCGTCCGGCCGAGCGAGGAGGAGAGGGACTGAGCTCGCGAAGCCAACTGAGACATGCAAAGCTGTTGGCCAAACGAGACATGCGAATTCGTTTACTGCTACTTGCATCAGTTGAGCTGTTCGGAGGCGTTTAGAGTGAACGAAGAAGGGAAGCTCGTTCAATTGATAGATAGAGATTGATTGCTTGATGAGTGGTAGCCACAACAATGGCGATGGTTTATCTCCTCTTCGTGGCTGTAACAAGTGCTTATACATCTTCTATAAGGTAAAATTCGTTGTCTGCATTTTAAATAACAAAATTTGTTAGATTTTAGTGATAGGCTTTGTTCGGATTCACCGTTACAATTTTTACTTGGGGAGATCATTTGTGATTTCTTCCCTTGTTACAATTTTGTGGACCTGTTTGGTGGAATTGTCATCTCCAGAAACAAGCTGTTTTGTTTTAGAGCTTTTTGTTTTGGGTTAAACACTGTTGCAAAATTGTGACCTTAGTTTGTTGGCTCTTGAGTTAGAATTTGTACACAAGGGTACTTATAAAAACGAAGAGTTATGCATTTTTGTTAGACATATATTTGGTGTCTTTCTTGTGATCCATGAACATCTATATGTATGATATTAGCTTTTTTTAAGGTTCATGCTTTGCTCCTTCCACCTCAAATCAGGAAGAAATTCATTGTTTTGAACTTTTCTTTTTCTCGCCAATTAAAACATTGAACTGATTTGTTGAAATGCATACTTCTTATATGCAGGTCTTGACAGTAGGGCAGGGAGCTACATTTCTATCAAAGTGATTGTGGAACTGATTACATTTGTTCGGTCAAGTTTGATGGTATGGAAAGAGGGAAAATCTGTAAAGATACATATTATGTATTCGAACCATCAAATGCAAATGGGATAAAGGTCTGGCTTTTCAATTCTCTTGGTACTACTTGTCTTGTTTAATTACTTAATCTTCCTTTTGTGGCTTAAAAGCAGAGTTTGTTGATATATTTCGAAGCTCTTTCCCTTCTTGTAAATTTCCTTCTCCTCTCAGGAACATGTTCTGTGTATATTCTTCCAGCAAACGTTGAACCATTATTGCTGCGTATATTCTTTAAGCTTTATCCTTCTGATCTTGCAGACTTGGGGTAACAATGGTAACAATGAACATTCTATTTACATTTTGTCAATTACCAATGATTTTACCAAGACAACTTATGAACTTCTCGGTTGCAAAACTGATGACTGGTGGGATGGTTCCTTTTGCTGTCACTCTTGCCACAGATGATGTAGTCGATTCATTTTCTGGAGATTCCAAGGTAAAATCCAAGAGTCGTAGGGTTCTTCTTATCAAAATCATCTTCATGCATTTCTGATTCGGCTTGAAGCCATTTAATTAGCTTACTGATTGTAGCTTAAATCGCTGCTACAGGGTCACTCAAACTCCGCTCATGCTACGGGATGTGCAACAGCCGCCAAAGCCATTGAATGGTTCAAAGATCCAGAGCCTAACCATAGATCAAGGAGGAACCTCAAGAGAGGTACCAAGACATGGAGACATGCCCTTCCTATTAAAATCGCATGCATTGAAGTAGACGCAAGTCCACATGCATGTATGGCACATGATCAAATATGTTGTAATCAATGTAAACCCCCTTATCATGTTTCAGTCGAGCATGAAACCCAAAACTCCCTCTCCTTTGTCGTAACAAAGCGGAGCAAAACACCTCTAAATAGAAATCAAGTATTTGACGGATGTGTTATATGATAAATATATAAACACTTTTAAATAGAAAGAAACGGAATATTATTAACAAAAAATTGCAAGATCTATCATAATTTATTAATAGGATAGAACTTAAAGATAAAAAAAAATGTATCAAATTTTCTATAAATCTAATTTACCAAACTACAATATAATAGGACAATTCTCAAAAATATCGTACTTTGAATTTTTGTTTCTAAAAATAGCACAATTATTAATTTTTTCTAAAATATCACCAAGAGTTTTCGTTTTCCAAAAATACCATAGAACTAAAATTAAAATTTAAACCTTCTAAACTAACCCAAAATCCTAAAAACCAAACCCTAAATCCAAAAACTATACTTTAAATCTAAAATAGTTAATCCAAACCAAAAATTTTAAAATTTTAATCCCTTAAAGATCACTTTCAGTGTTTGTTGTATTTTTGGAAAACCAAAATTTTCGGTGGTATATTTGGAAAATAATTGGAAACAAAACTTTAAAGTAGTATTTTAAAGAATTTGTCATGCTAATACGTGTATATTAGTTGGTGAATAAAAATTTTATTTAGGGAAAGTTTTGGTATATATAAGTTGAACTGAACAACTACTATCTGGAACTGAAAGAACCAAACCAAACCATAATCATGGACAATTGGGGCCGCTTGGTAACTGCCTTTCAAGTCTTTAACTGTAGGCTTTTGGTTGTAGAGATTCTCGCTGTAAATGCTGTGATTGTTAACTTAAATATTAATCAAAGTCTGTTTAGTAATGGAAGCTGTAGAAGTTGTAATTGTTATTTTAATAATAATGTAAATAACGTTTTGTGAAAATATAAATTATGACTTAAATACGATAAAAATATCTAATATAAAGAAACTTTATTTATTTTTATTATTTTATTTTTGATTTAATAACCAAAAGTTTTATTTCTGATTTAATAACCAAAATCTCAAGAAGTGGAATAAACTAAAAAATTTTGGACAAAACTCTCAGCTTCCGAATCTTCTTTACAAATGCAGTGTTGCCTTATCAAATTATCTAAATGGTTTTTTAGGTATTTCCAACTCAAATAAACTTTAAAACGATCGTTGATATAATAAAGAATAATGGAGAAATTGCAAAAATGCCACTTTTTATGTGCATATTTCCAAAAATGTCATTTAGGGGTGTTCATTTGCAAAAATGCCACTAATTATAGATTTTTAAACCCTATATCTTAAAATTATAAACACTAAAAAATGTTTTGACCCCTAAACCCCCCTAAACCCTCATAACTAAACCCT